CTCGAGGTCTGGTCTGGCAGGGCAATGGCACTGGGCAGAACAGTCCTCCCAGTACAGCCTGGACTGGTGCTGGTCCCTTTGCTCAAGCCAAGGCTGCCACCTAGTGCAGTGTCCCCGGGGAAGCCGGGGGTTGGAGCAATGTCCCCAATACTCGTGGGGTCACCCCTGATCAGAGACTCTGCCAGGCAGGAACAGGCACCATCCACCTGCCAGGAGCTGCTGATAATCCCATGGGAAGGAGCATTTTTGGGGCAGGCACCAGTTTGTAGAGCAAATCTCCAGCAGCCACATGGGATGGACTGGTGGCCGGGTGACCCAAGCCCAGTTTGACCAGCTCAAGGTGTGAGATTTGGCTCCACAAGCCCAACCACAGCGTAGACATCCCATCCAAATCCTCAGCCAGGTCAGGGGACTGCAAGAACTAATCTGAGGTACACACAGATGTGGGGTTCCCCTTCTTCTTCCATTTATGAACTCAACTTTAAAATCCCAACTGATTCCTGGAACAAATCCTACAGCTGAGTGGTTCATGGGAAATTGCTGTCCACAAGATTTCCATGTTATGGGTCTGATGACCCCAAACCATGGGCTGTCCCACAGCTGAACATGGCAGATACTAAAGCAGCTTCTCAGCCACCATGGGCCTTAAGCGTGAACTGTTGAATTAAAGGGTTTGGCACTGAAACACCCGTACAAACAAAGATAATAATGTTATTGACTGCAGCCAGCCTGCAAGTCAGCCCCAAAGCCAGGAGAACTCCTTGGACTCGACCTGGGAATTCATCTCAGGGAATTTAATTAACACCCATATGAGAATTACAACATTTTTTTTTTTAATCTAACTTGAATTATATTGAATATCTCTTGAAGGCTTCAGAGATAACAGATCATAAACCTGCCCTGACCAAAGCACATGGACCTGGCAGCCCAGGAGCAGGTTGTTTGCTGGGAGCATTCCCAATCTTCTACCCCACGAGTCCAACTGTCCACACAACCTTGAGTAGGGAGTGGAGGAACTCTTAATTACACGCTGATTTCCGTTCTTCTGAAAAGCCAAAGGGTTTTTGGCAAGTTTCTTCAGAGAGATTTGTTTCAAGTGATAAGACCCAGGAAAGGAAATGACAACCACAAACACACATCCCTGCAGAGGGACAAGTGGCTCCAACACAGTGTGGTCCCCTCAGGGGTGTTGTTGGGATTGATACTCCCAATATTTGATGAGCTGAAGGGACAATGAGGATGAGATGAGCTGAACATCAGTTGGGATTGATACTCCCAATATTTGATGAGCTGAAGGGACAATGAGGATGAGATGAGCTGAACATCAGTTGAGATTGATACTCCCAATGTGTGATCAGCTGAAGGGACAAGGAGCATGAGATGAGCTGAACATCAGTTGAGATTGATACTCCCAATGTGTGATCAGCTGAAGGGACAAGGAGCATGAGATGAGCTGAACATCAGTTGGGATTGATACTCCCAATATTTGATGAGCTGAAGGGACAATGAGGATGAGATGAGCTGAACATCAGTTGGGATTGATACTCCCAATATTTGATGAGCTGAAGGGACAATGAGGATGAGATGAGCTGAACATCAGTTGGGATTGATACTCCCAATATTTGATGAGCTGAAGGGACAATGAGGATGAGATGAGCTGAACATCAGTTGAGATTGATACTCCCAATATTTGATCAGTTGAAGGGACAAGGAGCATGAGATGAGCTGAACATCAGTTGGGATTGATACTCCCAATATTTGATGAGCTGAAGGGACAAGGAGCATGAGATGAGCTGAACATCAGTTGGGATTGATACTCCCAATATTTGATGAGCTGAAGGGACAATGAGGATGAGATGAGCTGAACATCAGTTGGGATTGATACTCCCAATATTTGATGAGCTGAAGGGACAAGGAGCATGAGATGAGCTGAATCAGCATCACCCAACCCAGCCCTTGTACCTGGATCTGTGTCAAAGATGATGGGGAGGGTGGGGAGAGCCAAGGGCTGCAGCTATAAACCCAACCTGCCATGGGGAAGAGTCAACAGAGGAGGTGAGGGAAGCAGCAGCAAGGGAAGGACGTTCTCCAGAACATCACCCTTGTCTGGAAATTGCCATCACCCACCTTGGTGACAGGTCCCCCCTGGGTTGTCCTGTGGCAGCTGGAGAGGGGACGAGCGTGGAGGAGGAAATGAGCCTTTTCCTTACAAGAGCAGAGAGGGAAGAGCTGTTGCTCTGTGTTTATCTCCTCTCTCAATGGCCAGGGCATCTCGCCAGGAGGTCAGAGACCTGCTGTGATTCTGCCTCGTCTCCAAGGGGACTGATTTCGTAGCTCCCTGATGAAAATATATTGGCAAGAAACTGTTCTGGAAGCTTCCAGCCCCTACTCCAAGGATTCTCCATAGATCCTACATGGAATAATTGCTACAGACCCCGTAATACCGGCTCCTCTCCTTGTCACCCGGTGTCTCACCTCCTCCTTTGTCTCACTAATTAACTAATTACCCTATGAAAAGTGAAAGCATCCCAGACAGGGACACACCAGCCGCTGCTCTGCTGGCCAGGTCACCCTCCCAGTCCCAGGGGGTGGGAGGTGGGTTTTACACCTTCCCAAAAGGAATTGGACGTTGGGTTCCCACCGGGAATTGAGAGCCCCGAGGTGCTGAGGGTGAGGGTGTGACAGTGACCCCCTCCCCGGGAAGGATGGAGAACGGGGACCCAGTAGGTCCCTGCCCCGAGG